TAATACTTTAACTCTAATTTTAGAATTACAATCTAAATTATTTTTTTTATTGACATGAAAACAAGTCAATACCCAATTTATTTTTTTCTAAATATTTTACCAACTTTTAATAACATTTTTTACACATTTATAACAATTCAAATTAGCATATATGATTGTGTCATTGTATAGGCAACAAAATCTATCATGAGTTATTATTCAAAACATTACATAAACTTTTCAAATGATTTATAAAACATAATTATTGTAATCATACTACATGGATTAAAATAGAAAAATAACCATTTAATGTACTTATTATATGATGAATTAGTTTAGTGGCGTAATTTGAGGGGGTGGCAAGATGGGCATTTGCCCCTGTCTAATTTTAAAAGCAACCCGATGGGCCGGTGGTTGCCGTTGAACCATTATTATATTTAATTAGTCCAAAAACATGACTGTATTTATATTTTCTTAAAATATACTATATACTAAGAAATTATTGTCATAATGATAAATTTTTAATTAATAATTTAATTAGAATATATTTATATTTAGACGCATGAGGGTACGTGCATGTATGGATATTGGATGTGTGTGTGTACATTTTAAAGAAAAAAGAAACAATAATAATAACATATCATAATCTCCGTATGGTTATATTTCTAAAATCTAAAATCAGTACAAATTCTAAAAACAACTGTGAGCCGATCGGCACTCTTATTAATCATTGGTTTTAAACTTCAGTTGGCTTGTGAAAATCGTGACACCGTACGCTAAACCATTGTTTCTCAATCTTTTTAGTGTCACGACCCCAAAATAGGTATAAAATATGATCAATCGCTTCGCGACCCTCCCCCCTCTCCATCTATATATGGTAAAAATTTGATTTCAATTTATATTTTGTAAATTAGCGTTTTATTATTTTTGACCTACGCGATCCCAATTCAAGGTGTTCGCGACCCCCTGGTTGAGAAACGCTGCGCTAAGCTATTCAACTATTCCGTATTATGTTGTTGTGTTAATTCAAAAATTTAATTTTTTCGTGACACGTGTATACATTATTTTTTTCAATATGGACAAAAATGTCTTAAAAAAAAAAAAAATGGGTAGTGCAACAAAAAACCGCCATGCTTAAAAAATTAAGTTACTGCAAAACGCTCAGGGATCGAAAACAATTTACGATATGTTCAATAAACAGACGAAACTTGAAACAGTAAGTAAGCAATAAAAAATAATAATAATTTAAAATAATATTATTTTGTAAATTTATCGTATACCTGTTTTTTAAATTGATGTACAATTAGTACAAAAACCAGCTATAATGCAGTCGGACCAATTAATTGAAGAACAATGTTCAGTTGATTATCTTGTAAATTATTATTCTTACATACATTGAAATTATGTTAAATAATAGCCAATAGACATACTTATAAATATATATGTTACAGAATGATCGCGATAATAGATCTATTGATTTGAATATTGGATAACCAGATTCATTTATAAATGAAGATGATACAATGGACAATATGGTATGAATTTTTTATGGTAGGTAAAAAAAAAAATAACTATCAATTTTAATCTATAATTAAATCTTTAACTTTCTTATTATTCTAGGATGTAGTGCTTAGATCAGCAGTTGATGTTTCTATTCCTACTATTGAAAAACAACCCAAGTGTGAAAAAAGTTTCAAAAATTAAAAAAAAGATATCCTTTTATAAATTAATCATATTTTTGTTAATCAATAAAAAGTTTACATTTTACAGAGTTTTAATTTGTACTTGTTATTTTTTTATAAAATATCTGCTACTTTTTATTTGCAAATCGTGTTGTTTACCTAGGTAATAAAAAGGTTGGTAACAATAAGAATAAAAAATCTAAAAATAAGTGAAGTGGAAATGGTAATGTGAAAAAATTATAAGTAAATATTTTGTTACGAGCGAAGCGACCGGTTTTTTTTTTACCTATTTATATGCCTGTCAAAACTTTTGCCCCTCTCTACCGAAAACTGAAATGACGGCACTGAATTAGTTCAATTTATTTCAATTTTTTTGCATTTTTTTGACAAAATTGCAGCTTATGGTCGCTGGTTAGATTAATGGGGGTCTCCTTATCTCTTAATATCTTATGTTTCTGTAAATTATGTTTTCATGTAATTTATTTAGCATGATAACTGATAAGAGATTATCAATTATTAACTTTTTCTATATGAATATCATACAATATTTTATGACAATAAATAAATTAGTATTGTTCTCAATACTCTTGTTGAATAGTTATTATTATTATACTATAATCATGTTACATTTATTTAACGCTACGTGATTTTTTTTGATTTTTCGGTATGAAAGAAAAACAGACATTGATTAAACAAAACCCAATAATAAAAGTAGTAATTTTGGGCGATAGTAATGTTGGAAAATCATGTCTAATGAATAGATTTGTAAGTAACAGTTTTAGTGACCATACTCTTCATACGTTAGGAGTAGAATTTCTACAGAAAGACCTTGATGTCAATGGAGTACTATATACTTTGCAGGTGTGTATAGCTCAAACAATTTTTGTACATGGATTTAGTTTTATATACTTACATATTTCAGATATGGGACACAGCTGGCCAAGAAAGATTTCGAACATTACGAACACCTTTCTATAGAGGCACTGATATCTGTTTGCTAACATTTGCTGTGGATGATATACAGAGTTTTAGAAATGTAGATTCTTGGAAAAAAGAATTTATAAAATATTCACGTACAACTGATGTAAATTTTCCATTTCTTGTTGTTGCAACCAAAGTAATTCTTACATTTCATATTGAAATAAATTGGATAAATGTATTAAATTAATACATTTTATAGGTAGATTTAGAAAAACGAGTAGTCTCTAAAGACGAAGCTAATAAATGGTGTACAGAATATCTAAGTGCTCCTTATGTTGAAACTAGTTCCAAAACAGACATGAATATTGAGACTGCGTTTACTTTGGCAGTTGAAGTTTGGGCTTCAATGGAAAGACCATCTGAATTTAAAATATCACATCACAATTTAGTTAAATTATCTAGGCCTATTAATGGTAGTGCATCTTGTCCTACAGCTGAGACAGTATCACCAAAATGTTGTTAAAAGCATATTTTGAAATTATAAGCTTATTATGGCAAAAATTTTAGCAATATTACATTAAGTCTAGGGCAATATTTTATTACTAAAGCAATACAAATAAGCATTAAATAACATACTATTTAAAAGATTAAATTATTAGATATTAAATATAGATAGATATAAATAAAATAATATTCAGAGTATAAATATTAAGTATATATACTTTATTGTTTCATAATCATTTTAAGTAATGTGAACTCATTATTCATTATAATTTTATATGGTGTATTGTATTTGAAATATTTATTGTAACTTGTACTTAAATACACATAAAACTAAATTTAAAATTAATGAATAATATAATATATTGTTAAAATTAAGTTATAAGTGTTGACTTTTAAAACAATACTATTGAACTTATTTTAATTTATTTATTTCACCAAATTTATTTATAATGAAAATAAAAACTTTAAATTTGTATTGATACTTTTATATAAACATTTTATTGCCTATAAATTACAATATTAATATTTATTAAATAAATATAAATTTTATATTAAATTATTATTAATAAAAAACAAATGCAATTTTTAGAGTAAGACACATTCCATTACTTTTATGAAGGTTATGTCTTAAATTATTTTATGATATAAAGTAATTTAAAATAATAAATATATACAATATTGTAATTGTATAGTTTTGTTTATTAATTTTTTAATATGAAATAAATATTTTTTAAGGTTAAATGTTATATTTATTTGTATGGATAAAAAATATATTTTTTTTTACCTATTATATTGAAAACTTACTAATTTAGTATTTTATTCACATAATATATTGGTATTATTATATTTTATTTTAAATTATAATTGAATGAGTTATAAACATTTACCATTACACTTCATAATCATACCATATTATTTCATATTATTTTTGGTAGTTATAGCAATTTTTTTAATAAACCATCAGCAGCAATGGCCATTGAGTTGTATTAATACTAGTAAGAACAAAGAAAAAAAAAACTAAAAAGTTTTTACTGAATTACATGTAGTTTGCTTATAGCTAATTGAGACTAGATAATCTTATCATATTCTTGGTTAAATTAAATATTTATAGCATTTTACGAAACATATAAGATAATTAATATACACATTTAATTAAAATAAAGATTTTTAATAAGACTTCAAATTTATGCTTTATAGCCTATGTAGTTAATAAATTTTAACCAATTATTTTAATAAATATATATATTTATTATATTTCATAGTAGCTTCACCATATGATAATCAATTTTGTATAGTAAATTAATGTGCAATTGTCAAATATCATCATTAATGATAAAATAAAATAGATAAATATTTCCTTAATTACAATAATTTAGCAGATGATTCTTTTAAAATAAATACTATCTGTAACTATGTTAGTAGTGGGTAAAGACCCACTGAATAAAATGCATGTTGCTATTTTTAACATTATATACATGCAGTCAATGAGTGTCTAAAAATATTTACTTGATTGATTAAATATCAAAATTGTTTACTGCATATTTAAGCATATTCTGATGTTAGTACGTGTTCTGCATATTCTTGTATATTTTAACAAAAAAAAAAAATCTGTACAAATTTACATCTAACAATTCAAAAAGGAGTTGAGTAAAAAAGACAGATTGTATGTTGGTACGTGTAAGTTACTAAACTTCTATAGATTGGTTGTACGAGTTTTTTTAGCTGTTCTCCATATTTGTATCTCGTACGTCATGGCTGGTCTTATGACTTGTTTGTAAATTAGAATTTTTGTTCTCAGTGGAAGTTTAGAACGTAAAATGTTTCTCAGAGTATAAAGACGCAAGTTGAGGGATTTACGTTTAGTTTTTTATATGATATGCCAAATTTAGTTTTTTGTCAAAATGTATGTCTAGGTACTTAAGGTTGTTTTTTTTTTATTTAAGAGGTGCATAAAATATTTGCCTCAGCGATTATAAATTAACAATACAATATGACTACATAAAACAACTAGGAAATAAAAGTTAAATAATAAACATAATTAAAGTAAAAAGCCTTCTGAGAGGAAGAAGTTAACAATGGAAGTAATTAGGAATGCATTAGGAAATTGGAAAATATGTGGGAAGGTAAATGGAATATTAAAGGAAGAACAGATGTTGGAGAAAAGCTGGCGTTTAGTGAGGAGGTCTGGACAGTTAAAGAGGAGATGCGAAGCATTGCATATAGCAGGATCAACGTGCCGAGTACATTAAGAGATAAATGGAATGAGTGGGCCAGGAGGCGGTTGTGGATGAACCGGAGGCGATAAAGAGATGATGACTTTACGGGAAATAGGAATATTATGAAACCAGGGAAAATGTAGGACGTGGGGACAGACTAGGCGATAAGAAACAGCGAAGGTTGAAGGTAGGTTTGACCATTTCTGATTTCACAATCTCAAAGTGTGAGCCTTAAAATTGGGTTTAAATTCGGAGTAGGGAATTTTGATCGGAGAGGGGAACGTTGTTTGTTCAGGGATTATATTATTGTTTATCGATAAAGGATGGCTGTTAATAGAGCGTAGAATGAAAGTTATGTGATTAGATTTGGATTCATTTATTTTAATTCTCCAAAGACGAAACCAACTTTGAAGTTTTAATAGAATCTATTAAATAGATGATCCTGAAGAAAATTTGAGGGTTGGTTAAGGTCTGGGTGAGAGGAAATGATAGCAGTATCGTCCGCGAAGGTAGCAACGTGTCTTCTGAGTGAGGTATATCTGAGGTAAAAATGTTGTAGAGTGTAGGAGCTAATATGCTACCCTTAGGTATACCTGCCGTAATAGGGTGAGTGTGTGATACGTCGTCAACAAAGCGGATCATAAATATTCGGTTGGTGAGGAAAAACTTAAGTGTAAGTAGTAAGCGGGCTGGTAGATAACGGAGTTTGTAAATAAGTCCCTTTGTCCACACCCGAATGCCTGGGCCACGTCAAGGAAAACTGCTTGACAATAATTTTTTTTTTTGAGAGAGAGGAGGACATAATATCAGTTATTCTATGCACTTGGTGTAGAGTTGAGTGGTTTTTTTTTTAAAGCCGAATTGGGTATTCGGGATAATATTGAGATCTTTAAACATTGGACAGATTCTTTTGAGAAGAACATTTTCGAGCATTTTTGAGAGGGAAGGGAGAAGACTTATAGGACGGTAGGTATGAAGACGGAGAATCTGGGGGTTTAAAAAGCTTATGAATTAGTATTATTACGGAATGTTTCCATGTTGTTGGGATATATGTAGGCGAAGTATGGAGTTGAATATATAGGTAATAAGTAGTATTGATTTTTTTGGTAGGTTTTTAATTATTTAATTAGTGATCAGATCATGACCTGGAGATTTGTTTTTAGGTAGTTTATTAATTATAAAGAGGAGTTCTGAAAGGGACGAATGCTTGGTTGGAAAAGCCATAAGAAGAGTCGTATCAAGTAGCTGTTTTATGTGGTTAGTGTGTTTTAAGATGGTTATATCTGGGTGTGGAGAAAAATTTTCGGCTAGATGCGGGGTAAATATATTGGCTTTATCAGTATTTGATATAGCGAAGGTATTATCAGGGTCTCGTAAAGGAGGAAGATTATTTTTTTCCATAAGTGAGTTTTTGTCGCCTTCCACAAGGATTTCGTGAGTATAAGTTAATCACTAATAAATAACATACTGTACTTATTTTTAAATAACTAAGCAGAGTGTAATATATCGATGTGAACATGACGACTGTATGACCAGTGAAGGAAATATTATAAATAATATAATGAAATACATAAATATAATATAAAAATTATAAATATTATATATTATTTTTTTTTTTTTTATAAAACTTGATACCTTCATGATTTTGATTAATATAATATTAATATTTTTATTTAACACGAGTATAAATAATTTACGTATTTTATAACACTTTGTAGCTACATTTATTTATTTTATTTTTACTTATATTATTTTACAAAATAAATAGTAACTTACACTTGATAAAACTTGTTACCTATATTATTTTGATATATTTGTATATATATATATATATATATTATGCATGTATGTACATATTTTATATACTTTTTAAACAAAGGTATATACGTTTTACATTTTAGTGCCCAAACGTGGTATCTTTTTAGAGATATAGAATGCCCAAACGTGTTGCACGGAGACTTATAAGTCCTCTTAATCAATATGTGCTAATATTTTAATTTGATATTTAGGTCTGATAGATGTGTTAATTTATTTATTCACCAATAATTAGTATTTTGAAGTAGTATAGTAGTTATGTAGAACAAAATTAAAAAAAAAACAATCAGTTTTTAAATTTACAACCATTGATATAAAATATATTAGATTTATTTCGATATAAATTACATAAAAAATATTTGGAAATTAAAATCATTAATTTCACTTATATATAAATGACTGGCGAGTATTTTCATATAAAATATTCAACCTAACTCTAACTTGTATTGTTTGTATTTTTTATTTTCCAATTGAATATTTTACCGCAGATTATATTACAATTATTTTTAATATAAACTATGATTATACCACAGAATGTGATTGTACGCAGTGTTGTATGGGAGAACTCATCATATCATAAATTTCGTTAAGTGTCGGTACTGTTCCGTGACGGCCATCTTGGTTGTATACGAATTCTCGACATCATAGTCCATAACTACATTGCAGTATACATTGCATGTTCTGAACAATAGGTAAATTTTAACTTCACTACATTAGTGCATCATATAATTTTGTTCAACATTCATCTATTTACCATAGTCTACTTAATACTTCTTACTTTCTCAGATTCCTACTCTCAACTGTTATGAACGGTCGTCAGTCATTTTTCTTGCCGTCTTTAAATTAAACAATTATTACTGCTGTGACCCACGTGTGTTGAACATTGGTGGCGAACTTGAAAGATACAGTTGCTGAACATATCGGCTGTCATTATTGAAACGCTGGTAAGATTTATTGTCTATATTCAAAGTTCGAGGAATCTTACAGTGTCCAATGATATACATAAGTATTTCATATTCTTTGATGCGCAATTCCTATCAAAAATGTGTATTTTTTTTCGCTTCCTTGTATGTAAAATTTGCTTTCTTATTAAAATTGTATTGTTTTGGTGGTGATAATCCTGCTTTAAATTTTTATATAAATTACATTTATATGCATATTTAATTAGTTTTGACATGTTAAATAATTGGTCTTGATAGGTGGAATTTAATTGTTAGTTACTTATTTACTTTGAAGTCCTATTTTATTTCATTTTAATAGAAAGATATTATATATTTGTGTTTAGAAGACATTAAAATGTCTAAGCACCGTGAGTGGGATCCAACTTGCAAAGTATATATTGGTAATTTGAAGAGCAATGCTAATAAATATGAAATTGAAGATTTGTTTACCAAGTATGGGCCATTGAAAAATATTTGGATTGCTAGGAATCCACCGGGTTTTGCATTCATAGAATATGAAGATCCGCGTGATGCAGAAGATGCTGTTCGAGGTTTAGATGGAACGTAAGTCTTAAAATGTAAACAAACTATATATATAATAGTTGTAAAACTTATATATATATATATATATATATATATTTGATAGTGGTAAATTCTATACTCTGAATTTAACTTGGTGAAATGCATTAACAATTAATGATGATATTATCAGTTATCCCTGTCAGATAAATACATGGTGATACATTATGTAGTCTGAAATACTCTAAAAAAGTAAAACATTTTTATGATCTATATTGGTTATCCCTGTCAAATGTATTCATGATGACATATATTGTATTAGGAAATTTACTAAATTCTTCAAATGTTGATAGTACAATTATAATTGCATTGTATATGATATACTATTTCAATCATCCTTTTTAAACAAATTCACAGTGATACTTTCATTTTCTGAATTAAACTTAAGTATTTGATATTAAATTTTAATTCCACTAACTATTAATGATCATTAATATAAAATATCCTTGTCAGATGAATGAATGCATGGAGATACCTTACATATTCTGAAGTATCTAGATCGTTTAAAATTAAATTTTAAATGAACTAACTATTGATGATGATTATTATCAGTTATCCCTGTCAGATAAATACATGGTGATACCTTATGTAGTCTGAAATACACTAAAAGTAAAACTTTTTTATGATTTATATTGGTTATCCTTGTCAAATGTATTCATGATGACATATATTGTATTAGGAAATTTACTAAATTCTTCAAATGTTGATAGTACAATTATAATTGCATTGTATATGACAGTGGTCTTCAACCAGTGGGTCGCGACCCAATTTTGGGTCGCGTAAGCTTTAAGAATGGGTCGCGATAAGTTTTATGTTTAAAATTTAAAAAATTTATATGTATAAATATTAAATAATGTATGTCATATGATATTGCATAAAATGTTTTCGAACAAACCCTAAACCGTATTATTTTATACTATTATAAATTTGTAGAAGATTAGAATGAATACTTTTTTGTTATTCACTCATACCTAATTAAAAAAAAAATCAAAAACCAATATATGACACATGCCACTAATCATTAACTGTCCATTACGTAGTGGAGGAGTGTACACAATATATCTCAATACGCAACAACCTGAACATGCCATTCAACATAGTTACAGTACTTAGCGAAAAACAAACTCTGAATATTGTTATATTCTTAAGTATCACAAATATTATTAGTAAATTCTTATTTTACATCTTACTTCACTTATATAATATGTCATATAAAATATTGTAACATTAAATCTAACACCTAATTCATATAATATGTAACATCTATTAGCTAATAATATTTCCTGTTGAAGCCTTCATTTTCAAAAAAAAAAAAAAAAGAATGAACAATCAAATGAAGTATGAAATCGTATAGCGATAGCCCAATTTAATCCATATAACTCATTCACTTTTCATATATATATATTAACTCGTTAAATCTATTAAACTGTGTGAAATTGAGCTGAGGTGGAGGTATTTCTTGTGAAAAAAGTCAGGAACAAATATCGCACTAATTTCTTTTGTGTATTATAACATATACTTTTTTCGGTATTATTACATGTGTTCTTTTGGTATCATAACTTATAACAAAAATTAAATATTACTTACGATACCTAGATAAATATATGTGTATGTATATATATATATATATATATATAGATATAGATATTAATTTATTCAGTTATAAATGCACTTCCTCAATGGCATAAATAAAGCAATTTTAACTTATATTTGGTTTTCATGTCTAACAAAGCTGGTTAGGTTAGTTTTAGTTAGTTTTAGGAAGGCATAGGTCGCGAAAAATGTTTGGTTAGAAAAGTGGGTTGCTGGTTGAAAAAGGTTGAAGACCATTGGTATATGATATACTATTTCAATCATCCCTGTTAAACAAATTCATGGTGATACTTTCATTTTCTGAATTAAACTTAAGTATTTTATATTAAATTTTAATTCCTCTAACTATTAATGATCATTAATATAAAATATCCTTGTCAGATGAATGAATGCATGGAGATACCTTACATATTCTGAAGTATCTAGATCGTTTAAAATTAAATTTT